GCCCCTCCCCTTTTATATTTTTGATGTCACAAATGATCTCTTTGTAGGGGTGCCTGGGTGGCTCAGTCGTTAGACCTCTGCCTTCGGCTCAGGTCATGATCCCAGGGTCCTGGGATCGAGCCCCGCATCGGGCTCCCTGCTCAGTGGGAAGCCTGCTTCGCTTCTCCCTCTCCCACTCCGCCTACTTATGTTCCCTCTCTCTGTGTCTCTCTCTCCGTCAAATAAATAAATAAAATCTTAAAAAAAAAACCCAAAATTAAAAAAAAACAAATGATCTCTTTTTATACTTTGATTTTGTTACCAAGTTGTAGTAACAGTAGTTATCTTTAATGCTCTTTTCCTTTAACCTTCATGCTGTAGTTAAGAGGTTAATAAACTATTTTAAAGAAGAGTTATCGTATTCTAATTCTATGTATTGCCTTAATCAGAGTTTTGTTTACTTTCATCTTTTCATTTCGGCTTGAGGAGCTCCTTTCAACATTTCTTGTAGGGCAGGTCTAGTGGTGGTGAACTCTCTCAGCTTTTGTTTGTCTGGGAAAACCTTTATTTCTCCTTCATTTCTGAAGGATAACTTTGCCAGATATTCTTGGCTGACAGTTTTTATCTTTTACTACTTTGAATATGTCATTCTTCTCCCTCTTGGCCTGTGAAGTTTCTGCTGAGAAATCTGCAGATAGCCTAACCAGGGGTACTTTTGTAGGTTACTGTCTTTTTTCCCCCTTCACTGTCTTTAAAATTCTTCCTTTATTGTTGACTTTTGACAGTTTTAATGTAATGTGTCTTGGAGAGGGTCTTTTTGCATTGAGATAATAAGGTGTTCTATTAGCTTTGTGGATTTATATATCCCGTTCCTTCCCCAGGAGTGGGAAGTTCTCAGCTCTTCTTTCTTTAAATAGGCTCTCTTCCCTTCCCCTCTCTCCTCCTTCTGGGATACCCATTATTCTTATGCTGGCTTTTCTAATAGAATCAGATGATTCACATGGTTTCTTCCACTATTTAAACATTTCAGTTCTCTCTTCTTTTCCACCAGAATCATTTCTATTTTTCTGTCCTTGAGCTCACCAATTCTCTCTTCCATATAGATCTGCTGTATTTCCAGTACATTCTAATGCGTTCTTCATCTCATTTATTGAGTTCTTCAGCTCCAGAATTTCTATTTGGTCCTGTTCTAGAATTTCAGTCTCTTTGGTAAAGTATTCCTTCTGTTTATTAGTTTTATTGCTGAGATCACTGCATCATCTTCTTGAGTTTTCCTGTGGCTTGTTGAACTTCTTTACGACAAGTGTTTTAAATTATCAATTAGGTTACAATATTCCATGTCTTTGGTTGCTGGAAAATTGTCATTTTATTTTTGTGATATCATGTTACTGTGGTTGTTTTCATATTACTGTTTTCATATTTCATACAACTGTGGTTGTTTTCATATCACAGTAATATGAACTCCTCATGGCGTTTGAGGAGAAGTGGTTCTGCCACTGCATTTGAAGTAGTGAACACCTTCTTTTAAAATGTAGGCAAGGTTTTGTTTACTTTGATTCTAACCATTCAACAGGTTGGTAGTTAGGAGCCTTCCTTTTGTTTTCCAGAAGGTGGCGCTATAGCACAAGTTTTTGGCTTCTATGTTAAGGGCTCTGACAGGCTGTTCAGGTTGGGAGCACTATGCATTTAAAAAAAAGCAAAAGGTGGGGCAGAGCAGGGGTGAGTAGGGAAGGTGTATGTATACTCAGTGCTTGGGGTTTTGGGTGTGCCCACTGCTCCGTAGGGGGATCCTGAAGTGGGGATGGTCCTCTTTCAGTCTCTTTTCCTCTCCCCCATCCCTGTGGTCTCCTCAGAGAGAGCAACTGGTCCCTCCAGCTGTGCAGCACATAGCCAGGCCGACCACCACTCACTCACTGCCTTCACCCTCCACCTCCTCTGCCAGAAAGGTGGTGCTGGCTGGTTGCTGAAGCAGCCCACACCTTCTCTGCCACCACAGCCCATGCCACTGCTGGCTCCGTCACCACCACCACCCTCCCTCTGTAGTCCCGTCCACCCACCTTAGGTGCCCAGATGGTCAGATCTCTTGGCTGTCCTGGTATGCTGTGCAGAGGTGTTTTTCTTTTTGGTTATGGATGTCCAGTTAGTTAGTTGTACATGGAAGGGGAGAGAAGAAAGGAATGACTCCTGTTGGTGTGATTCTGACGTCACTCCATAGTAATCCACCAATTATTCTTTATTTTAATTATGTTCCTTAATCATGGCAGGAAAATATACACCTCTGCCTCCTTCATTCAAAAGTTGTTTTTAACAAAAACATTTCTTTTTAATTTTACTAAATACCTTTCCAGCATCTATAGAGATAACTGTATTGTTGTTTGCCTCTATGGCTATTGTGGATTGTATTGGTAGATTTTTCTAATATTGAACCGTCTTTGCATTCCTGGAACACAGTTATCTGCCTTTTAATGTGCTTCCTCATTCTGAGTTAAATCTGATTTAAAATTTACATTAATAGATTGTTTTAAGATCCGTGAAGTTTTTCTTTTTCTTTTAATGTTCTGGATCAGTTTAATTACACTGGATTTATCTTTTCCTTAAAGGAATTTCTCATAGAAAGTTTCCTATAAAGCTGCCTGGGCCTGGTGTTCTTGAGAAAGAGCTCTTTGACAGTATTTCCTCCCTCCCTCCTTCCCTTCTTTTCTTTTCCTTTTCTTTCTTTTTTTGATGATAATTAGTACATTCATATTTTCTGGAGTTAATGTTTATAATTATATTTTTGGAACATTACCCATTTTATCCTGTATTTTGAAATTTGGGGCAATGAGTTGAGCAAAGTCGTTTTTTTTTTTAATTAAAAAAATTTATTTACATTATATCCCCTTCCTCATTTCCTATGTTAGTCATTTGGGCTTTTTTCCCATTTTATCTTAATTTATTTTTCAGTTTATTTGTTTTATGGTGTCTTCCAAGCACAAGCTTTTGGGTATTTTTATAATTCTACTATTGTTCTGCTTTCTGATTCATACAGTCTGGTTTTAATTTTATTGGTTTTTCTTTCTACTTTTTTTTTCACTTATTTTGTTCTTTTCTAACTTCTTTAATTGGGTGCTTGATCCATTTAATTCATATTATTAATATAAATATTTAAGACTGTGATTTTTCTGTGGGTACTGCATTCTTTGGGTTCTAGCAAGTAATATTTTCTTTTTCATCATTATCAAGATATTCCAGAGCTTTAGTTTTGTATAGGTTAAGTCATTCAAGGAGATGTCTAGATGGTATTCTAATTTTGTTATTAATTTCTAGAATTTTTTGTTTCTCTCTCTCTCATTTATTTATTTTTTCCTTTCGATCAAAAAATGTTAGTGGGACACCTGGGTAGCTCAGTTGGTTAAGCATCTGACTCTTGTTTTCTGTTTAGATCATGATCTTAGGGTCATGGGATTGAGCCCTGAGTTGGGCTCCATACTTAGTGGGGAGTCTGCTTAAGATTCTCTCCCTCTGCCCCTCCCCCCTCTCGTGCTCACTCTTTCTCTCTCTCTCAAATAAATAAATAAAATCTTTTTTTAAAAAAGAGAGAAACTGTCAACATTATTTTAAGAATTAAAGTTTATTTTGTGGCCTCATGTTTAATCATTTTTTGTTAGTGTTCTATGTCAACTTAAGAATAAATCATGATGTCTCTTTGCAGGGCATAGTGTTCTTTAGAAGACAATGAGATCTGTATTATTATGTTATTTAGGTTTTATCTACCCTTGGAAAATTTGTGTCCACCTGTTCCCCCTTGGATCCTCAGAATGCAGTGAAAATGCACGCCCGATGAATGAAGGTATGGTGTGGAACTCTCTGTGGTCAGCTCGAGTTGTGTTGTGTTCTGTCTTCTAGCCGAAGATTGCCGAGGAGAACCTGACCTACGCTGAGTTGGAGCTGGTCAAACCCCACCGGGCTGCCAAAGGCCTCCCCACCAGCACTGTCTACGCCCAGATCCTCTTTGAGGAGAACAAGTTGTAACGTGGCGTCCTCTTCTGTGGTCGTATTTAATGCCTGCCACCCCAGTTATTTATGATATCTTGGAAACAAAATCCTTATTTTTGTATTTTACCTCGTGCCTTCTGTGTGGTGAGGAGCCCTTTTCCAGCGGCGTCCCAGGGGCCTTCGAGGAGAGGTATGACACACGAGGTACAAGGCTCCTCTCCGTCAAAGAGTAGGGTCCACAGCCCTTGGACGAATGTCCCGGGACAGGATGTGTCTGGGTCTGAGCCCTGAGCAGTGTGAACTCTGATTCTGAGAGCACCCAAGGAGATTTTCTGCTGAGCCAAACCTCTTCATGTTTTCTTCTCCTTTCTTTGGGTTTTAATCTTTTTAAAATCTTATTTTAATCTTCTGCTCTTCCTGTATTTGTGATACTAAGCTCATAGTATATAGCTAGAGGAAATGCCATTATAGGCCAAAGTGTGAGATGGTAGATATGTACTAATTGGTTTTTCAAAAGGTCAGAGAACATTTCTAGGGCACCTCGATCAGAGCAAACTGCTTATTGCAAATGGTCACTCAAGATAGCATCTCTTGTTTTAAATAGATGCACTGACCCTGGTGACTTTAAGGGCAGAGGCAGATTGTGGGGAACTTTGATGTCTAAGCTAACAGTCCACTGTCTCTAGATACGCCAGTGCCCATTTCTCCACCTGTGATCACCCAAGGATGCGGGGCGAGTAGCATACCATTCTAAAGGACACCTCCCCCTTCAGCACGGTGGGCTTATATTGCTATAGAAACTCATATTCTCCAGAAAGTTCTTACTCACTGTTTTCCAAAGGAGCAAGGGAGGGAGCTAGCCATCGATGGACACACTGGAGGAAATGGGCCTCTTGGAAGTGTGCCGAGGTTACCAGCTCTGATTGAATGTCCACTCCTGTGTGAGCAGAGTTTTTTTGCCTGATTCCACTGGGGTAGCAGAGTAGGACGTGGCAAGCCGAGCTGGAAAAATGTGTTTTAAAGACCCTACTGTTGTAAAGTGCCTCTCCCAACTCGACTTCACGTGTGATTTCTCGTGTGTTTGGGTTGGGCTCAGGCAGGGATGCGGGGCAAATATATCTGTGCTGAAGTTGCCCTGTGTGGACTGATGCAACATCCAGGATCTACCTGAAGATGGAGACCTTCTAGAAGAGAGACATCCTGTCGACTGTGTTAAGGACACTTTTTGTGTGGGTGTGCTCTGGGCAGTTATTTACTGCACACTGCAGAAATTGTTTGGCTTTGTAATGGATCATGTATATACGGTAAATTATATATTTTAAACACAGCCTTGAGTGTGAGTTGTGCTCCTCTGTATAGCCATGTGCACTCGGTCAAGTTTCTTATTCCCTAATTATCTCAGACTCATGTTTATTTTAAGGTGACTTAACCTGTCATAGAATTCTTGTAACGGGAAAACAAATACTGCGAGATTCTGGATACTATACGTTGCTTCACAGTACACTGTGTTAACATTCGTGCGACAGCCAGTACTTATCTTCAGAATGAAAACTTCTTTACAGTGTAAGGCTCTCATTACAATAGCTTCAAAAAGCAAATGTTTGTCCATGAACTTAGCTCTACAGTGACACTCCCAAAGACCAATGATAGCTTATGAGTACATCTTGTGGTTTATTGGAAAGGGTCCACATTGGGAGCAGGTAGATTTTCTAGAAGCAGAAATAACCTGCCTTTACAAAGAGGAAGTCATTCTCTCTGGCCTATACCTGCATCTCATTCCCTTCCCCTCTGCCAAATTTCAAAGATAGTGAATAAAGCACACAGCTTTTGAGGAAGAAGTACCACCTGGAAGGATTCACTGGAACTTCCAGAGCATTCTTTAGGAGAGCAGAATATATGGTTGGCACACAATTCATATAATTATCATGGACAGCATATCCTGTTTTATCATGGCAATGTTCCAGCAGACTGTGGTTCTTTGGTGTTTTGAGAAAGGAGGGTGATTTCTTCATTTGCACGAGGAGCCATATGGGCTAGTGGGGCTCCCGGGGGGTGACAGGTGGGGGTGGAGAGTGGGGCACATGGAGAGAAGATTGTGGGGAGAGGCAGGAGGGTAGGGAGCCCCCAGCCTTCTGCAGAACCGAACTGAACTTCAATCACCCTTAAACCCATGTCCTTAAATTCAGAGGGAGTTTAGGGGCCATCATATATGGAAATAAACACATGCCACTAAGAAGAGCACGAGCTTTTCAGAGCTGGGGTAGCTGCAGGTTAGTCTTAAAGGTCATTGTTATAGAGTCAACGCAGACTTTTTCTCCAACATTCTGGTCATAACTGCATAAATCCACCCTATGCTGTGTGTCTGGGGGACCAGATAGACATAGAGTATAAAAGGAGCCTGCCAGACCATCACCCCTACTGAAAATGCTTCCCTAAGGAATCTTGGAGGTACCGTCCACGTCTGAGCAGAGTTCATCCCACCATTATCTCCAGAAGCAAACCATCCCAGTTCAGCTCACAACTAGAAGCAATGGATGATCTGTCCCTGGTGCTTCTTTGGGATGATAAATCTGGACATTATTGTCATAGTAAACTAAAAAAATGGGTCTACTTGTTTATTTTCTAGCAAATAAATCACTAACCATGCCTTAAATTTCTAAAGATAAGTAAGGGGAAGCATATCAAATAGAAATTAGGAAAAGCTCATCAACTTGCTTTTACTCTCAGGCATCTATTGAAACAACTATATTAAAGCAGTTTATAAAAGGGACAATTGCTTGTGCATTTAAATGAAGTCAAGACAAGTAAGACCCCATTGCTCATAGATACGCTAAGGTTTGGTGGTGAACTTTGACCTAGGCCAGGCATAACATGGAAACATGGCAGGAAGCAAGGCAGTGAAAAACGGCATCTCAAGCTCTGAACTAAAGCTCTGAACTAAATCCCCCATGTTGTGGGGGGAAAGGGTTGGGATTTCTCTGGGATCATGTCTTCATTAAAGCATCATGATTTTGTTAGCTCACAGGGCGAGTCAGAAGAAGCCAGCACCCCCGCCCCCCACCTTCCACACCCTTCCTGATACTTGCTGGAGTGAAAATGACATGGGGCACTTGGTATTTTTTAGTGCATAGTCATCTGGGTTATCCCACACATCGATAAGCCCAAACACTCACTTGGGATAAGAACACTAAACCAGTTGATGCTTTTAGGGACTATTCACGCCCTTGTTCAACACTCAGCCTCTGATATGCATGACTGCAACCTAGGCTGGGCCAAGAATGGGGTTCTTGCTCCAGGCCACAAAAAATGGCCCAAAGCTTGCAAGAGGACTGGCCTGGGCCAATCAGAATCCTTGGGAGAAACAAACCATCTTTCCCTTGGGCAGCAAAGTTAGGATGCCACGTATCAGATCTGCCTCCAGCCATGTCTCTGGTGAGTAGAGAAGCCTTGAAGAATGAAGGAGACTTTGAGAGAGAAGCAGGGAGGAAAGCACAGAATCCTAGCTCCCAGGCCCTAGAATCCCCCGGACTTTTCTCTTTCCTTTCAGATCTTCTTTTGATTCAATTAACTACCCTCTTTTCCTACCTTCTAAATCCTGGTTTTGTTCAAGCTCATCAGGTTGCAATGGCGAGAATTCTGACTAATATAGTATGCATTGAAGTTGCTTCCCAGCTCAGGAAGCAAAAGACTCCCACTGAGTGTCCCTACCCAAGGAGTCTGCTTACGTTATGTCGCATGAGGTACTTGCAGCCACGAGTTTCTGCTGTGCTCTGCACTTTCCCACTAAGCAGGACTTCTCAGGGCCCTGAAGACACTTCAGGGAGAGGGACTGTCGGGACTGATATTCTCCTGATGGAGGGACCCTCTGGCTTGGAGTAGGGATACCAGCAGGCCTGGAGTAGTACTAAGCAGCATTGGGGACAGCAGGGGAAAGGCACGGGGCAGAGATTCAAATGAGCCACGTCACAGGGTTACTGGAGGGAGTCTTTTTGTGTGGTTGTGAAGTTTAGGGTGGCTTCCGTATAGAACATGATGTCTTTCAGTATCCCTGTGTTTCCTGGGGGAGAAGGTGGGACTCAGCTCTGTGTTGTTCTTAGCCCATTATAAGGTGAGGCAACCACATGGTGGGGATGTTGACTCTCCGTCACATCCCACCCCACCCCCCCACCCCATACACTGGACAGAAGCTATTCACTAGGATGGAAAACAAAGAAGACATTCACGGTTTGGAGGAAGGGCCTGCCTTCTGCATGGACAGGTTGAATGTGAGCTATGGTGGAGTGTCCAGATGGGTAGGATAGACGAGTGCTCCATAAACTTCAGTACATCACTGGATCTTGATACGCTGTGGATCGTAGTTCAGGAAGTCTATATGGGGCCCGGGAGTCTATGTTTCTGACAAGCCCCCAAGGAAAGCCCATGCTTCTGAATGCGGACAGTGTTTTGAGTGGCATCAATGGCCAAACTGTTGGGAAATGTGGATCTGGAACCCCTGGAAGGTTGGGGGATCTCCTGAGAGTATAGGTCACAGCCGAAGCCTGACAGCAAAATCCCCAGGGAGAGGCAGCCCAGTGTGGAGAGAAGGTGCTCAGGCCTGAGTGATGAGGAGCTCCCTGCTGGCAGCTCCAGGAGCAGGTAAGGAGCCTGAAGGAGGCCAGGGGGAGAGCAAGGGATCAGAGAAAGCCATGTCTGGGAGTTTCTCGAAGGAGGAAGCACTCAGCAGTGTGCACTCTGCAGAGGTCAAATAGAATAGAGGTTGAACCTTTGCTCTTTCTGAATTAATTGTACATTTTGCATTTTAAAAAATGATTTGTTTTGCTGGGGAAAACAATTCCCCAAGGGTACAGGGCTAACAGACTTTGGCACTGAGCCCTGTGTGCTCTGCTCGGTAGATTTTCCCTGAGGAAATTGGTGTCTTTCCATAGGGTGGCGATTTGGGGAAGACTCTTACTTAATGCATAGGATGGGGAGGCAGTTTTCTGCTCCTTCTGTTGTCATTGATAAAAGACGACTTGGTGTCTACTTCCTAATAAGCGCAGCTCGATTAGCTTCACACCAATTTAGAGTCTGATTGTTAAACGTTAATGTACTGGACCCTATAGTTTTAAATAGAATTAGAGATGTTTACAGCTTTGGTTAAATGCACCATGTATCTTCCACGTTAAACTTTATTACAAGTGTCCTCCATCAGCAAACAGAAGAAAAACTCATTATTAGCTGGTGCGTATGAGGGCCGTGGCCGCGGCGGGCAGACCCAGATTCTGTTTTCCTTTATAACAGCCCGCTAGCTGGCAGGTGGGCATGATTGCTCCCTATGTGCAAAGATGGTTAGGACCCCAGACTCCCGGGTCTCGGGGGGGATCTGAGAGAATCCACGAACACCCAGGAATTTTTATGCAGAAGTTTGTGTTGCTTGTGTGAGAGCCTGATGCCCTCTTCACTTTTCTGAAGGAGTCCATGCTTCACATAAGATGGGACCTTTAGAGACTCTTTGCCAGGGTCCTAACGGCAAGGTCCCCTAGGAGCATCATGATGAAGTCTGTCACTTTACAGCTGGGGAAGGTAAGGAGTGGGAAGGGACCTGCTAGTTGGTGGCAGAGCCCGGTTGGAACCAAGCTTTTTTGTCGCCAAGCCTGGTGACCGTCCCCCCTCAATATCCCCACCCTAACCCCCCAACTCCACCACCAAGCTCTGGCCCCAGGCAGCCCACCAGTTGGAACGCTGGACATGGAGTCTCCAGCCCCTTCTCCTGAGCTCTATGTCTACCCACTAGCCCCCTCCCCCCACCCCAGCACAGCCCGGGTCTCTCAGAAGCCAGTGTCCACGCCTGACCACATCATGAACACCCCGCGCCCCTCAACAGCTAGTCGTGCTGCTTACGAACACCACCGTTCAGCCCGTAACTAAGACAGGAAACCTGGTGTCGTCAATGGAGATGGAGGTCATGAACAGCAGCTGCAGACTTATTGCTGACTTTTGGAGAAAAATACCAGGGGCCAGGCACCGTACTGGGCACATTTTCTGTATTATCTCATTAAACCCATACCGTGCCGCCCCCATCTACAGACGAAAAAGCAGAGGGTCAGAGAGCTCAGCTAGCTTGCTCAAGATGGCAGAGCTGGATCATGATATCTCCCGTTTCACCTTTGCCCGCACCTGCCCCTCCCCTCCATCCACATGGCTCCTGCCTTCCACCACCTCTAGGCACCTCCCTCATGGGCCTCTGCATTCACACCCGACCTTCGCCCTGCCGTCTAACCCATTCTCCAAAATGCTGCCGGAGGGATGCTTCTCAAGTGCTGACTGCCTGCGCCACCA